CGGGGCGGGGGGTCGAGACCGCGCTCCGCCCGCGGGGCCTGGGCCTTCTCACCCGGGCCGCACCTCCACTTGGGGAGCCCCCGGCCCCCCATCTGTAGCCAGCGGGGCTCAACCCAGCCAGCGAGGACCGGAAGCTGCAGGGCGCCTCGCTGGGCGCGGACCCCGCGCCTGTCATTCCGCGACTCAGGGAGGCCGAGACGGGAGGATCCAAGCTTGAGGCCCACAGGGAAGGAGTCAGACTCCTCTCCAGATGCTCTGGGGCTCGACCCCCAGCTCTGGACCGGCACAAAACTAAGTGACGAGAAGCCCTGACCCCGACGAGAGCCAGGGGCGGCTTTCCCTCTCCCTCTCCCTCCATCTTGTCACTTGGGAGCAGACAACAGGCTGGAGCAGCCGCAGCTCCGCTGCTCCCCGAGGCTCCTGGGGCGGGGCGGGGCGGGGCTGAGGAGCCCCCCTCAGCCCTGGGGGCGTGGGGCGTCCAGCTATGGCTGACGCACGGGGTCCCGATGCCAGCTCACAGATCTAGAGCAACGCCTATACAGTGGAGATGGCGCGGACTCCTCTGCTACCTACAGGGGCCCTGCCGGTGCCCGCGCCGTCCGCCCTCGGCCGGCACTTACTTCGTAGTCGTCAGTGAGGAGATAGTCGTGGGTGATGTACGGGCTGAGCAGGGTGTAGACCACCAGGTAGACGAGGCCCAGGCTCAGGCGCTTGAGGGCCGGGATGGTGCTGGGAAGGAACAAGTCGCATCGGAAGGGGCGCAGGCGGGCCCAGGGGTTTTGGGGTGTGGGTAGAGGCTGGGGGGGCTCTCACTTGACCTCGCTCAAGACCCGGGCTCTACCGCTTGAGCCACAGCTCCACGTCCAGCTTTTGCTGGTTCACTGGGGAGTCCCACGGACTTTCCTGCGGGGGCTGAATTTGAACCTGGATTCTCAGGTCTCAGCCTCCCGAGTGGCTGGGGTGGCAGGCGTGCGCACCGGGCCTGGCCTTTTTCTTGGTTGTGGAGACGGGGTGTTGGCAGGTAGCCCGGGCTGGCCTTGACCTGGTCACCCGGGGGCTGGCCTCCAAAGGCGTGTGGACAGTTGGTAAATGAGATGCAAGACGGGGCGTGGCCTGGGATGGAGAGTGTGGCCCTGGAGGGGCGTGGCCTGGCAGAGGGTGTGGCCCTGGAGGGCGTGGCCTGGTAGTAAGGGCGGGTCCAGGGTCTGGCGTGAGGCCTGCATAGGGCACGTCCAGGCCCTGGGAGCAAGGCGGAAGAGGGGTGTGGCCAGCTAGGGGTGTGTCTAGACAGGGGGTGTGGCCAGCCAGGGGCGTGCCCAGGCCGAGGGGGCGAGGCTGACACGGTGCTGGAGGGGAGGGGCGTGGCCCTGGGCACAGGGCTGTCCAGGCCCAGGGGGCGTGGCCGACACAGGATGCTGGATGGAGGGGGTGTGGCTTTGGGCATAGGGCGTGTCCAGGCAGAGGGGCGTGGCCGACACAGGGTGCGGGATGGAGGGGGCGTGGCCCCGGGCACAGGGCGTGCCCAGGCCCAGGGGGCGTGGCTGAGGGATGCTGGAGGGGAGGGGGCGTGGCCCCGGGCGTGGGGCGTGGCCAGGCCCAGGGGGCGTGGCTGACAGGAGGCTGGAGGGGAGGGGTGTGGCCTCGGGCGCGGGGCGTGTCCAGGCCCAGGGGGCGTGGCTGACGGGAGGCTGGAGGGGAGGGGCGTGGCCCCGGGCACGGGGCGTGTCCAGGCCCAGGGGGCGTGTCCAGTACCTGTTGGGCACCTTGCCCGGCTCGTCCGTCAGCTGCCCCTGCACCAGCTTCCGGTAGTGGTTCATGGAGAACTGGGGGCCCACCAGGAAGGCCCCGTAGAAGTAGGCGAACCCCGCGACCTCCAGCAGGGACGGGACCCCGCGGATGGCGTACTTCCGCTGCTCTGGGGTCAGGGAGTTCTGTGCCGGGCAGAGAACAGGCCGGCTCAGGGGATCGGAGGCCACTTCCGGCCTGACTGAGCATGCGTGGGGGGGGGCGTTGCCTAGCAACAGCCAGAGCCAGGCTGGCCTCGAACCCCCGGACCTGGCGCAGTGGCTGCGTCCCGGACGAGTTCGACCTGGGGAGCCTGGAGGCTCACTGCTCTGGGGGGGGAAACTGAGGCAGAGCTGCCCCTGGTGATCTGCGGGCACCTTCTTCGTGGCCCTCACAGCGTTTAACAGGGGAACGGCTGGGGCTTTACCTGGTCTTTGCCTCCATCGAAGTAGTCGATGGCCAAACCTGAGCGGAGAAAGAGAGAAAGTGAGGGGGGGTGGAGGGCCCGGATGTGTGGGACAGCGATCCTCCGGATCCTCGGGACTCACCGATCATCTTCAGCGTCAGCACACAGTGCGGCATCGTCCACTTGATGTCGTACGTGCCCGTGGCGGTGTAATAATAGCCAGCCAGAAGGTAGGCCTGGGGGAGAGGGCGGCGTTACTGCCCCCCCCCCTCCAGGTGAGCCCGCCACCTCGGGGTCTTTATTTCCTTCCTGCTCTGAATGAAATCCCTCGTGTGCTTTCCTGTTCCTGCTCAGGAGGCTGAGAGGTGAGGCTCGAGGTTTAAAGCCAGGCCGGGCAGCCGGGCATGGTGGCGCACGCCTGAAGTCCCCTTGCTGGAGGGGCTGAGCTAAACCCTGAGCCAAATGTGGGATCTGAGATGGGAATCGGATGTGCTGGTCTAAGGACTTGAACTCAGGGCCGGCCTGGGCGCTGTCCCTGAGATTTTTTTTTGCTCAAGGCTGGCGCTCTACCCCTTGAGCCACAGCGCCACTTCTGTTTTCTGGTGGTTCCTGGGAGATCAGAGTCTCACGGACTTTCCTGCCTGGGCTGGCTTTGAACCTCGATCCTCCGATCTCAGCCTCCAGAGCAGCCGGAACTACAGGCGTGAGGCGCTGGGAGGGGCAGGGCGCTTACCATTTGGATGCAGAAGGTGGTGAGGACCGCGGTGACCGTGCGGCCCATGAGCCGGAGGATGAGGAACTGCAGCAGGACGCACAGCAGGGAGTGGTAAAACTGGTAGCCTGGGACGGGAGACAGAGCTGAGCCGCGCCACGCCCAGGCTCCCTCCCCGCAGGACGCCCGGGGAACTGTCCCAAGGCCGCACCCTTTGTCATGACAGTGACATCAGAGAGTTGAGCCGGGCACCGTGGTGCCCGCCTGGAATCCCGGCCACTCAGCTGCCTGAGAAGCTGGGATTCCAGGCGTGCGCTGCGGGGCCAGCCCCGCGCAGACTCGGCCGGGGCGCGGCGGGTTCTGCCTGGCTGTGGGGGGTGTGGGGGTCCGCCCCGCGCCTCCCTCCTCCAGCCCCACTCACCAAAGTTAAAGTAGGCGATGGCGAGGCCGGTGAGGGCGTGGAAGAGGTGGATGAGGTAGCTGTCGGAGTAGAAAAGGTAGTGCCGGTACAGCAGGGCCAGCGGGTAGCCTGGGGGGGGGGGGAGAGGTCCTTGGAAGCTCGTTCTGGAACGTCCCCGCGTGGGCCCGGCGCACACGGGCACGCGCGCGCACACAGGCACAAGCACACAGGCATGGGTACACAGGCACGCGGGGGCACACAGGCACACGCACACGGGCTCACAGGCACGCGCACACGGGCACGGGCGGGCACACAGGCACGCGCACACAGGCACGCGCACACAGGCACGCGCACACAAGGCACGCGCGCACACAGGCACGCGCACACAGGCACACAGGCGCGCACACAGGCACGCGCACACACAGGCACGCGCACACACAGGCACGCGCGCACACAGGCACGCGCACACAGGCACACAGGCGCGCACACACACAGGCACACAGGCACGCGCACACAGGCACACAAGCACGCGCACACACACAGGCACACAGGCACGCGCACACAGGCACGCACACACACAGGCACACAGGCACGCGCACGCAGGCACGCGCACACAGGCACACAGGCACGCGCACACAGGCACGCGCACACAGGCACACAGGCACGCGCACACAGGCACACAGGCACGCGCACACAGGCACACAGACACACAGGCACACAGGCACGCGCACACAGGCACGCGCACACAGGCACACGGCACACAGGCACGCGCACACAGGCACGCGCACACAGGCACACAGGCACGCGCACACAGGCACACAGGCACGCGCACACAGGCACACAGGCACGCGCACACACAGGCACACAGGCACGCGCACACAGGCACACAGGCACGCGCACACAGGCACGCACACACAGGCACACAGGCGCGCGCACACACAGGCACACAGGCACGCGCACACAGGCACACAGGCACGCGCACACAGGCACGCGCACACAGGCACACAGGCGCGCGCACACACAGGCACACAGGCACGCACACACAGGCACACAGGCACGCGCACACACAGGCACACAGGCACGCGCACACAGGCACACAGGCACGCGCACACAGGCACACACGCACGCACACAGGCACGCGCACACAGGCACACAGGCACGCGCACACAGGCACGCAGGCGCGCGCACACACAGGCACACAGGCACGCGCACACAGGCACGCAGGCGCGTGCACACACAGGCACACAGGCGCGCGCACACACAGGCACACAGGCACGCGCACACAGGCACACAGGCGCGCGCACACACAGGCACACAGGCACGCGCACACAGGCACACAGGCACGCGCACAGGCACACAGGCGCGCGCACACACAGGCACACAGGCACGCGCACACACAGGCACACAGGCACGCGCACACAGGCACACAGGCACGCGCACAGGCACACAGGCGCGCGCACACAGGCACACACGCACGCGCACGCACGTACATAGGCACACAGGCGCACACACAGGCACACAGGCGCGCGCACACAGGCACACAGGCGCGCGCACACAGGCACACACGCACGCGCACGCACGTACATAGGCACACAGGCGCGCACACACAGGCACACAGGCGCGCGCACACAGGCACACAGGCGCGCACACACAGGCACACAGGCGCGCGCACACAGGCACACAGGCGCGCACACAGGCACACAGGCGCGCGCAGAGCGGGGCTGAGGCTGCAGTGACGCCGCCGGCCGGCAGGCG